ACATTGTTTAGTTCTGTGATTGACATTGTTTAGTTCTGTGATTTACATGATTTAGTTCTGTGATTTATGATTTAGTTCTGTGATTTATGATTTAGTTCTGTGATTTACATTGTTTAGTTCTGTGATTTACATTGTTTAGTTCTGTGATTTACATTATTTAGTTCTGTGATTTACATTGTTTGGTTCTGTGATTTTTGATTTAGTTCTGTGATTGATGATTTAGTTCTGTGATTTTTGATTTAGTTCTGTGATTTTTGATTTAGTTCTGTGATTTACATTGTTTAGTTCTGTGATTTTTGATTTAGTTCTGTGATTTACATTGTTTAGTTCTGTGATTTATGATTTAGTTCTGTGATTTACATTGTTTAGTTCTGTGATTTATGATTTAGTTCTGTGATTTATGATTTAGTTCTGTGATTTACATTGTTTAGTTCTGTGATTTACATTGTTTAGTTCTGTGATTTTTGATTTAGTTCTGTGATTTATGATTTAGTTCTGTGATTTATGATTTAGTTCTGTGATTTATGACTTAGTTCTGTGATTTATGATTTAGTTCTGTGATTTATGATTTAGTTCTGTGATTGACATTGTTTAGTTCTGTGATTTACATTGTTTAGTTCTGTGATTTATGATTTAGTTCTGTGATTTACATTGTTTGGTTCTGTGATTTTTGATTTAGTTCTGTGATTTTTGATTTAGTTCTGTGATTTTTGATTTAGTTCTGTGATTTTTGATTTAGTTCTGTGATTTATGATTTAGTTCTGTGATTTATGATTTAGTTCTGTGATTTACATTGTTTAGTTCTGTGATTTTTGATTTAGTTCTGTGTGATTTCTGTGATTTAGTTCTGTGATTTACATTGTTTAGTTCTGTGATTTACATTGTTTAGTTCTGTGATTTATGATTTAGTTCTGTGATTTACATTGTTTAGTTCTGTGATTTACATTGTTTAGTTCTGTGATTTACATTGTTTAGTTCTGTGATTTACATTGTTTAGTTCTGTGATTTACATTGTTTAGTTCTGTGATTTTTGATTTAGTTCTGTGATTTACATTGTTTAGTTCTGTGATTTTTGATTTAGTTCTGTGATTTACATTGTTTAGTTCTGTGATTTACATTGTTAAGTTCTGTGATTTATGATTTAATTCTGTGATTTACATAGTTTAGTTCTGTGATTTACATTGTTTAGTTCTGTGATTTACATTGTTTAGTTCTGTGATTTACATTGTTTAGTTCTGTGATTTACATTGTTTAGTACTGTGATTTACATTGTTTAGTTCTGTGATTTACATTGCTTAGTTCTGTGATTTACGATATAGTTCTGTGATTTACATTGTTTAGTTCTGTGATTTACATTGTTTAGTACTGTGATTTACATTGTTTAGTACTGTGATTTACATTATTTAGTTCTGTGATTTACATTGCTTAGTTCTGTGATTTACGATATAGTTCTGTGATTTACATTGTTTAGTTCTGTGATTTACGAAATAGTTCTGTGATTTACATTGTTTAGTTCTGTGATTTACATAGTTTAGTTCTGTGATTTACATTGTTTAGTTCTGTGATTTACATTGTTTAGTTCTGTGATTTACATTGTTTAGTTCTGTGATTTACATTGTTTAGTTCTGTGATTTACGATATAGTTCTGTGATTTACATTGTTTAGTTCTGTGATTTACATTGTTTAGTTCTGTGATTTACATTGTTTAGTTCTGTGATTTATGATTTAGTTCTGTGATTTACATTGTTTAGTTCTGTGATTTATGATTTAGTTCTGTGATTTATGATTTAGTTCTGTGACATTGTTTAGTTCTGTGATTTATGATTTAGTTCTGTGATTTACATTGTTTAGTTCTGTGATTTATGATTTAGTTCTGTGATTTATGATTTAGTTCTGTGATTTATGATTTAGTTCTGTGATTTACATTGTTTAGTTCTGTGATTTATGATTTAGTTCTGTGATTTATGATTTAGTTCTGTGATTTATGATTTAGTTCTGTGATTTACATTGTTTAGTTCTGTGATTTATGATTTAGTTCTGTGATTTATGATTTAGTTCTGTGATTTATGATTTAGTTCTGTGATTTACATTGTTTAGTTCTGTGATTTATGATTTAGTTCTGTGATTTATGATTTAGTTCTGTGATTTATGATTTAGTTCTGTGATTTATGATTTAGTTCTGTGATTTATGATTTAGTTCTGTGATTTATGATATAGTTCTGTGATTTACATTGTTTAGTACTGTGATTTACATTGCTTAGTTCTGTGATTTACGATATAGTTCTGTGATTTACATTGTTTAGTTCTGTGATTTACATTGTTTAGTTCTGTGATTTACATTGTTTAGTTCTGTGATTTACATTGTTTAGTTCTGTGATTTATGATTTAGTTCTGTGATTTACATTGTTTAGTTCTGTGATTTACATTGTTTAGTTCTGTGATTTATGATTTAGTTCTGTGATTTACATTGTTTAGTTCTGTGATTTATGATTTAGTTCTGTGATTTATGATTTAGTTCTGTGACATTGTTTAGTTCTGTGATTTATGATTTAGTTCTGTGATTTACATTGTTTAGTTCTGTGATTTATGATTTAGTTCTGTGTGATTTAGTTCTGTGATTTAGTTCTGTGATTTATGATTTAGTTCTGTGATTTACATTGATTTAGTTCTGTGATTTATGATTTAGTTCTGTGATTTATGATTTAGTTCTGTGTGATTTAGTTCTGTGATTTATGTTCTGTGATTTACATTGTTTAGTTCTGTGATTTATGATTTAGTTCTGTGATTTATGATTTAGTTCTGTGATTTATGATTTAGTTCTGTGATTTTTGATTTAGTTCTGTGATTTATGATTTAGTTCTGTGATTTATGATTTAGTTCTGTGATTTATGATTTAGTTCTGTGATTTACGTTGTTTAGTTCTGTGATTTATGATTTAGTTCTGTGATTTATGATTTAGTTCTGTGATTTATGATTTAGTTCTGTGATTTACATTGTTTAGTTCTGTGATTTACATTGTTTAGTTCTGTGATTTATGATTTAGTTCTGTGATTTACATTGTTTAGTTCTGTGATTTGATTTAGTTATGTGATTTACATTGTTTAGTTCTGTGATTTTTGATTTAGTTCTGTGATTTATGATTTAGTTCTGTGATTTATGATTTAGTTCTGTGATTTATGATTTAGTTCTGTGATTTACATTGTTTAGTTCTGTGATTTACATTGTTTAGTTCTGTGATTTACATTGTTTAGTTCTGTGATTTATGATTTAGTTCTGTGATATATTTGTATCGAGTTCTATGATTTACAAGTTTGATTTACACTATATTTTTGTGATAGACTTTAAAAAATCGAAACTGGGAACCAGAGCCTAGTTCCGTTTAACCTCAAACGGAACTCGAGTTTGAATGTTAGTTCCGTATAAGACCCGTTTCTTTTCAAAAACTATGGTAGTCTTTATTTCTATCGGAAAGGTTGCGAGTTCGATTCCTGTACCGAATTAGAATTACATCATGTGTATTGGATCTGCCGTTTTGTCACCAACATACGTTTTCCTTAAACGGAACTATGATCTGGTTCCTAGTTCCGTTATACAGGACTAAGAACTGAGAACCAACTTCAGCTTCTTCCTGTTTCGTTGGTTGCAGTCGTACAGTTTTTATCTAGCACTGTTTCTTATTATCACATTTGACAATGACAGACGTCGGTACTATCTGTCTATATAGCACCATAGAATTGTGTTAAAGTGGTGTACAGGAAAGAGGATTTGGGAATAAGTGAGTAGATGAGGTGTAAGAATACACTTGTAAATGTATATATACTACAGTCCTTTACTTTAAGCTTTCCATCAAGTCCCAGACACATTATTCTCATAAAAATCAATTCTATAATATTTCTCATCTCAAATTTTGGGATTCAATTATGCATCCAGAAAGGAAAAAAATATATATATATATATATCAATGTTTAAAGACAAAAACAGAATTAAAAGATATGAAACCATTCCTTATTATCAGATACGTGTATGATTCACCGTGATTTATAAGGGAGAATAGACTGACGTGTCTCCAAATTAATATCTGTTTTTAGTGGGAATACTATTATGTATGTGTAATTTATACACCATGTTGGATGTCTGATTGTATCATAAAGAACTATAAACAGGAAATGTTTAGAATCCTCGCATTTAACAAATTCAACATCTGTTCTGTTGACATCAATAAAAGTGACAATTTTTACAGGAAAGCGAAATCGCTACCGACTTAATCTTATCTGAGACCATTTCATAATCATACCTGCACATAAACCGCGTCTTGGGGAAAACAATGAAAATTCGATGTACATGCTAATCAGTAATATTGGATTTTATTGCTGGTAATATCGCGAATTAATTAGACAAAGAATCAGTAATATTGGATTTTATTGCTGGTAATATCGCGAATTAATTAGACAAAGCAATTGACATCCTGAAAAGTAGCATGTGATTTTATCTGGACGGGAAGTTCAGTGTAATGCTGCATATTTATATAATGCTGAAATGACAATGTGTCACCAAATGCATTCACGTAATTAATAATCCCAATCGCCAAATAAAAACTCGTTAATAAATAGCCCTGCGTCTGTCTCCGGTCAACTCGAGGATAAATGAGACTTAAAGCTTTAAGTAGTAGACGGCATTGTTCTCCGCTGGCGATAGGAATGTATATATAAATAAATAGAGTTTATGGACTACAATAAGGTAGGCTTGGTTAGGTAGTATGATCAGAACACGGGGTCTCCGGCAGGTCAGTTCAGGACAGCGGCCGTGTAGTTGTCTCACAACTATATCGTACATTCACCTACCTAATCAATGGAGGTGGTCGGCACTGCGCACGCTCCACACCAATCCAGCCTAACGGGGTGAAAAGTTTAACTCTATACAGTATGCTTATCTTACGTTATACGTATTGTAAAAAATAGCGAGTGAGAGATGATACAAACATCCATTTTATGTCATTGCAGGTGCTTTATAAAATACTTCGGCTACCCTTTGTGACGGAGACGTGGTCCTCTGTAAACCACCCAGGTATGCATTATATACATATTTATAATTTTGTGGTTGTATTTGTCGATAAACCTGATAAACGATATATTTGATTATCGTATATATATATATATGTGTGTGTGTGTGTATACATATATATCTATGTAATTATACGTCACACGTTCGGAATAATACAAAATGTTGATTTCAGATTTTTTTTTCTTGTATACTGCAAATATATATCTATAATAAGAACATTAAAAAGTTTAGTCAGCTGATTAATAAATGATAGTGTATTGTTTGTAAATAAATATCTGTATTTTGGTTGTAAAAGCTGTTTTAGTAAACAAATTATGTTTGAAAAATCCGATAGAACTTGACACACGCTATTATTTCTGGATTTTCCAGTCAACAGCTGGGTAGTAGTACAATATCAAAACATATGACAGAATATCAGTGATATGTTTTTGTTAGAATATGTTATATCTTTGTCAGAATATAAGTTCTACATTTGTCAGAATATGACTTTGACATTTGAGACTGGAAAACTGATATCATTATATAAAGACTGAAATACAGATAGCATATATCCATAACTTAAGTAGATCAAGCTTGTTTACGTGAAATACCTACAGTAGATATATGTTATCTATAGATAAGGAAATCTACAAGAATTTACATTTCATATAAGGGTCTTGATACAATGAGCCAAAGAGTTTTCCATCTTACCATGCCCCTGTTTAGGTAACGGGAAATTTCTAGATCAGTTTCATATATCTCACATAATTGAAGTCATAATTCAAAACCACTATTTTCACCTTCCAAGCACATTTTCGATGGGTGCATGTACCATAATGACACCAGCAAACAATGGGAAGGGAGAAAACTCAGTTAACAATAGGAAGGGAGATAACTCAATTTTTAATTTTCAAAATTTAGACAACCAAATATTCCGTCAATGTTATTTTTGCAGTCTGAATGTACAACTTTACCAGAACGAGTATTTGTTAAATATACTGGTTTTATTCTACTATTGCGTTGTAAAAGTGAACGTTATAATGAAATACTGAAAAATCATGCAGAATCACAATAAATATTACGATAGGAGGGGCAGAGTAGGACTGTTTTTTAACCTTTTCAGGTATTAATTTTACAGGTGACGAAAGTATCACACTATTCACGAAAATTTCCAATCAATAGAAAGGATGGGGAGATGATTTTATATCTTACAATAATAGACAGTAATAAACATAACTGATTATCACAGTATCATTTTTATTGGGACTAAAAGATCGATATCGTTTTTACCTGATATAATTATCACTGTGGTTGGAAATTATCAATTTATTGCAATGTTTAATTAAAAATTCTTGTCGTTATTCTTAGATTTACAATTTTTAGCCTACAAGTTGTTGGTATATAACCATAGATTGTTTGTAAGAAAAAAAAGGTGGATTAACGTGAAAATTTGGTTATTAATAATCTAGTATGATGTTACTGTTTGGAGGATTGTCTCAACATTTAGAGTGAATGAGTCACTGTGGTATAACTGAAGAGTACGTCTCCATCCTACATATTCCTGACTCATTATGTGTCCTTCCCCCCCACTAGATGTAACACTGTCATATAACAAACATTGATATTCATGTTCATGTCTCCTGTTATATACTGGTCGATTCAAACCTCTTCCTTAGTCATTCTGATACTGTTTACAAGTCTCCTGTTTGCACGTCCTAGTCTTATAATGATTGCCTACCAATTACATATCTATTTGACTTTTCTTTCGGTCAGTTTAGATCACTTTATATTTTCCTCTATTGCCTCCTCGGTTTGAAATTTAGGCCTTTAGCATCACTGCCAAGGCAAAGAAGGACCAAACCGCTGTATCATACAATTTAATTAATTTTTTGGCTCTGTTGTATCTTATTTAATTTTTATTAAAAGTGCTACTCACTTGTGTGTCTTTTTATACTGATCTTATTTTTATTCTGAAAATTTCCTTTTCCATGTCGTGAATTACTCCTTAAAATTGAGGCGTTTTGCAGTTCGAAAAGTCTTCATATTCTCTTCTTTTTAGTGCCGAAAAAGACACGTGAAGCTTTTACGTATTTTACCGTTTATTTTTGATGTTTTATAAAAAGAAGGACATTGTTATATTGATGATTTGAGATTAAGAATATAAAGATTTTTGTTATAGATTGGCGTCATCGTGTTCACGACAGTGTGGATGGAGAAACCTCTAGACCTGAGTCATCGTGAGGACGAAACAGAAGGGGACAATATGGAGGACTTCCCAAGCCGTGACGACCCTATATGCCAAGTAGAGAATTGTAACTGCCCCCTAAAACATATCATACAACTGGACAGCCAAAGACGATCGTCTCCTAAAAGTAGTTCGGAAAATGACCAACAACAGCAGACGATGGACAATAGACAATATCCTTTCTACAATAACTTCATCACTTCAAGTCAGTTCAGCCAGCGCTCCGTTACCTCGTCCGAATATTTCAACCCCAAGCGTCGACGTGTGAATATGTATAATGAAGAAACGGGACAATGTTCTGTCGGTAATCGCGCAGCAACCGCTCCAGATAACAACGTCACTTCCTGTAACGGAAGCAGGTACGACCAATCAAATAGTCCGTATTATTGCGCGTATAACCAACAAATCGTGGACTGTGATATAAACAACGGTAAAACTGGTTACCATGAAAATAAAACCGCGTTAGATTCGAGAGTGTCGTCTATAGGTGGCGCTTCTACTGCATCAAACGGCGGGCAACATTTAGACTTTGAGCCATGTCAGCGAGCGCGAAGCAAAAGTGCTACGCTAATGCCCATGCTGCCAAAGAAGAGGGGTATAAAACGATATTCTCCTGATCCAAACCAGGAACAGGCTGCTTCTTCGCGACACGGCACTGAAATCAACAGAAAATCACGACAGGCAACTTCGTCCATGAAGTCGAAGACGGACTCTCTCCTTCTTCCGGCGGCAAGGTTGTCACCTTCCCCCACATCAACGATCTCCTGTCCTCCAATTGTCCCAGCAAAGCCCCCAAAGTATGACGCAAAGTCCATCAAGGCGGACATGATTCGTGAGATTGATAGTCAGAAAGAGGACGATGAAGATGTTGAGACGTTCAGGAAGAAACTCTTCGACTCCTTCATGAAAAAGAAAGACCTGTCAAAAGCCGAAGATGAAAATAAGACGCCACCTGTTGTGGAAAAGAAACAAGATGAAGTTACTCATGCTAATCCAATGACATCACTTGACTATCTGATATCAAAAACATTGATGGAGAGTGAAGATAAGCCTTTTAAGGCACGAAATAATCACATTCACGAGATTATACGAGGCGAAAAGAGGGGCCGACTTTGTCTGATGGACCTGGTGGAGCTCCAGGTCGAAATGGGTCTAGCATAATATCATTAGGTTTAAATGTGCAGAGTGTGAATGTGTAGACTCGATTGTTATTTATTGTAGAATCACATGCATAAGATAGCGTCATAGTTGAATAGTGTCTGTGTCTATAACAGTAGTAAGCGTTTCATTATTTGTGATAAGATCACTACATCACCCTTCATAAACACGATGTTGTAAGTACTGGAAGGCGGTTATATCAGGCGTCAAGTTAGCGTCAAATTGTAACTAAATGTCATGCGTCAAATAAGCGCGGCATGTCAGGTGTCAAGTTATCGTTAGGTTAGGACTGCATGTCAGGTGTCAAGTTATCGTTAGGTTAGGACAGCATGTCAGGTGTCAAGTTATCGTTAGCATGTCAAGTTGGCGTCAAGTTACTACTTCATGTCAGGCGTCAATTTAGGACTGTATGTCAGGCGTCAATATAGGACTAATCTTAGGCGTCAAGATAGTGCTACACGTTAGGCGTCCATTTAGGATTACATGTCAAGCGTCAATATAGGATTATATCTCAGTCGTCAATTTTACAATTTCTTAAAGAAATATTTGTTAAATGTGGTTGTTTTTAATGAAAGTGTATGTGTGGATAAGATATATCCTATTACTGTTATGTATGTACAATGCAAGTCACTTTGAACAGCTTGCAAATATTATTGACTTCAAATTCTGTTATTGTGACACAATTTCAGATTCTTTACGATCAAATTTATGTGATGTTATGATTGTATCTTTAAGCTCTCTGATTATTGATTCTCAGATATAACTATCAAAAGTAAAAAATGTGTACCGTGTCTTTCCACTGTGTCGTAAACATTGGCACAGAAAGTTGAAAAGTTAATAAATATCACAGATGTTGTCAACGTCAATGAAACATTACAGGACAATAAATAGTTTTACCTCTGTATATACCACGTCTGTAATCTACTGAAAACAGCTGTATTAAACGCACTGTGTTGTGGAAACATCGCAAGCATTGCTTGTCTTGTTGATACCAAAATACCGTAGATCTAATTAACTGTCTTTTTTCAAGAAATAGTAAGAAAAGCTTAATTTTACTAGATGTATGTAGATTTTTATTTCGGCACTATAATTATATGTATCTACGCAATGTAACGCCATATCAATCTCTTCCCTTAGGACAATTAAATAGGTAAATATTTAGCTAAAGTTATCGTTCCTGATATATTTTACTTATGTATATCTGTGACTATAGAAGAAAAAAAGCCAAAGTAGATTTATCCTTTCAATGTGTCATTTGGATGGCGTCTTATGTTCACATTCAAAATACACCGGTAATATTAGTAAGAAGCGAAGTGTATATCATTATGTAAAAGGAGAGGTCTTTCCTTCAACTTTCGGAATATGTTTGTGTTCATATCTCTTTGCTAGATTCTTGCCGAGAAGAGCAGAATGGGCTCTCTGACTGTGGGTAGATGTTAATCGTTATGAAGTTATAGTTATTTAGGGTACAAATACTGTGTAGTGATTATACAATCTCAATTTGATACCAAGTTCTTGATAATGAGGGGAAGTGGACGGACTAGAAAGCTTTTTGTTTAACATGTGCATAGAACCGCGTGTTTTATCTCTAAACATGTACTATATCTATATATGGAGAAAATGTTTTCATATCTTTTTTTGTTTTATTCGGTGTGAATGTGATTAAATCAAATATGACTGGGCATATTTTCCATATGTGTATTTTCATTACGTAAATTATATATGATGTTAAATATGTGTGACACTCAAATAAAATGTTATTTCATTATAACATACCACATGATCAGAATGTTGACTGGTCACGAGACGGTATAGATGCAATATTGGGTTTATTGGTTGAAATTTAAACGAAATGAATGTACGGCAATATAGTGCTAGTTTCATAGTTATGGATGGTATTTCAGAAAGAGATCTTTGAGGATGAAGTTTTTGGTGATGTTTTTCTCGGTATTCCTATGATAGCATCCTCTATAACGTTTTACACGACTTGACAAGCTAATCGAAAATCGTTTTTATTAAATCGTCTTGTCTTGAATGGTTCTCCTAGTCAAAATTTATTTATAATTCTAAACTCATGAAAGAGTTCTGTGATACCTGTCTCGTCCTACTGACGGATCCCGAACCGGTGACACAGCTTTAGCACTGCTGTAAATAGGCTAGACTTTTTCGCTGTAACCAAAGTTCTGACCAGATTCTTAAACTTGACCAAGGATTGGTGCGATACGTGTATTAAAGATCGTCACTCTGAGTTACATTATCATTGTGTATATGATCTTGACAGGTCGAATTCACGTGGCAGGTACTTATCAGTTGCCGTGCCACTTCAGGAAAAGTATGCCATTTCCCCACCTCTGTTTCTTTATAGTTTATTTGATCTCCCTACGACCCATAGATGTAGGAGTAACAGAGATATAACGTTAGAATTGTTGGGGAATATAACGTTTTGTCTACCCAATAGGTATTAAGTACCATTATAATAAAACACTATATAAATAACATGAATTATTATGTTATTATTCTCTGAAATGAAGTAATCAAACAATTAAAACACAACAAAAACGTAAAACAGAAAATACTTAGGTAGGTACAGATTTTAATGACAATGGCACGACACAGCTGCGGGCCATATATACTTAAGGTTCTTTTATCCAAATTTATATATTATTTAAAACGTGTCTGTCTGATTCAGTATACAGATTTAGGTAGCTTTGATCGTTTATATGATTGTTAACGATGAAAGTAACGATACAATTGTTAGAGCATGACCATTTGATTATGATTGTTGACTTTGGCAGATTTTTAATCTTCGTTAACATGAATAACGGTGAGATTTTTAATCTTCGTTAACATGAATGACGGTGAGATTTTTAATCTTCGTTAACATGAATAACGGTGAGATTTTTAATCTTCGTTAACATGAATAACGGTGAGATTTTTAATCTTCGTTAACATGAATGACGGTGAGATTTTTAATCTTCGTTAACATGAATAACGGTGAGATTTTTAATCTTCGTTAACATGAATAACGGTGAGATTTTTAATCTTCGTTAACATGAATAACGGTGAGATTTTTAATCTTCGTTAACATGAATAACGGTGAGATTTTTAATCTTCGTTAACATGAATAACGGTGAGATTTTTAATCTTCGTTAACATGAATGACGGTGAGATTTTTTCAATCATTGTGAACATGAATGACGGTGAGATTTTTTCAATCATTGTGAACATGAACGACGGTGAGATTTTTAATCTTCGTTAACATGAATAACGGTGAGATTTTTAATCTTCGTTAACATGAATAACGGTGAGATTTTTAATCATTGTTAACATGAATAACGGTGAGATTTTTAATCATTGTGAACATGAGTAACGGTGAGATTTTTAATCATTGTTAACATGAATAACGGTGAGATTTTTAATCTTCGTTAACATGAATGACGGTGAGATTTTTTCAATCATTGTGAACATGAATGACGGTGAGATTTTTTCAATCATTGTGAACATGAATGACGGTGAGATTTTTTCAATCATTGTGAACATGAATGACGGTGAGATTTAAATCATTGTGAACATGAATGACGGTGAGATTTTTTCAATCATTGTGAACATGAATGACGGTGAGATTTAAATCATTGTTAACATGAATGACGGTGAGATTTTTTCAATCATTGTGAACATGAATGACGGTGAGATTTTTTCAATCATTGTGAACATGAATGACGGTGAGATTTTTTCAATCATTGTGAACATGAATGACGGTGAGATTTTTTCAATCATTGTGAACATGAATGACGGTGAGATTTAAATCATTGTGAACATGAATGACGGTGAGATTTTTTCAATCATTGTGAACATGAATGACGGTGAGATTTAAATAATTGTTAACATGAATGACGGTGAGATTTTTTCAATCATTGTGAACATGAATGACGGTGAGATTTTTTCAATCATTGTGAACATGAATGACGGTGAGATTTTTTCAATCATTGTGAACATGAATGACGGTGAGATTTTTTCAATCATTGTGAACATGAATGACGGTGAGATTTCAATCATTGTTAACATGAATGACGGTGAGATTTTAATCATTGTTAACATGAATGACGGTGAGATTTCAATCATTGTTAACATGAATGACGGTGAGATTTCAATCATTGTTAACATGAACGACGGTGAGATTTTTAATCTTCGTTAACATGAATGACGGTGAGATTTAAATCATTGTGAACATGAATGACGGTGAGATTTTTAGGCTTCGTGAGATTGAAAAAGATTATTTTTAGTTTTAGTTTTGCTGAATGATTGTGGTGATATCTTTTTTTTTTGTATCGGAAACATTTAATGCTAGCAGTTTATATTTGTCATTGTCTCGTGACTACAGAGATCAGTCACGTGACCTATTTAATCAAACGTTGTTGTTTAGAGTAACTGTAAGTAGTCAGCGTGTACTTGTGTGGACATATCGCAAGGCATGTCACGTGTTAAAGAAATGGATAGTTTGTTAGTATGCAATATATCCCGTTTTGATATCGTATTAATATATTTCATTTGTCTTTATTTGTGTGTAGAGATCTTGTTTTCACTATAGTGATAACATGAAGCCACAAACTACCTGACAAGGTATCGTGAAATATTGTCAAAAATGGTATCCAGGGAACGCATTATGAATGGTATCGACTTGGAAAATGTTTAAGTTGAGTTGAAAATCTTCAATGTGTGGATGCTTTTGTTTACCGTTGATATTTGAAATATATGATTATACATCTTTATCAAATTGCGTAAATAAATAATTATAATAAAATAGCGACATTCTGTGCTTGTATTATATTTATTTGTATTTTATTTTTCGCCTGTTGTCGTCTGATGTACTCGAATGGTATATGCTTTTCAATTAACTTCCGTCCATGGTCCATAGATCATTACAACACTCACTGAATGTCTGTATTAATCACTCTCCTTGGTACTTTACGAACATATTCAGCATTCATCCTTGATGTGCATGTCACCTCTCGGACTTCGTCGGATAAAGAGGATGACCGACAGCCATCTTTTGTATCTTAAACATTTAAAAGGACCAAGCATTATAAAAGGCATTTTTCTGTCTTAATTACTAATAAAAGGACTGATACCAGTTATATAAGTTTTACACCAAAAACCCTCAGCTACATGGCTATTTCATATAAAGAGAAAAAGATAATAGTCTGTTTCAAATATTCGTGAGTGTAATGCTCCCTGAACGATAGGGGTTGGGCAATTTCTACACAAACATTAATGTCCGTTTGTTAGAATCCAGAGTAAAATTAACTGCAATAACCATATAAGGTATTCTCTTTTATATATAGGGCATCTACTTCCGGGCCAATCCAAGGGCCGCAATCTAATGAACATAATGTTAATGCTGTTTTAGAAAATATGGAAATTGTTAAACAAAGTTCATGGCTCCGGAAAGAAATGCACCGAAGTCTAAACTAATATAAATCAAAATAAGATATTGCAAGTGATAATTGAAACTTAACCTTTGTTTGTCTTTGTACTAATGTCCTTGATGTATAGTTATACATATCAATCACTCATCATAGTTCATTGTAATATTAAATACCCATCGCAGGCACTCCCATCAAAAACTATTGAGGATCAAGTATAAGTTTTCACAGACATACACATTGAAACTTAATTTTTTCAACATTTTCAATACATGTGTACTCAAAATCGTTTAAATAGATTCTTTGTCTTGTGTAGCTGGGGAGCAAGGCCTTTGCTCCTCAGTTTTTTGGCCTCCTAATTATTCAATATTGATTTGTGTATCTCGCAAAGTTATTTTATTAAATGTATGTATCAATAGACCACGGATTTAAAATAAACAGTAAATAGATATAAAGATAGCCTTCATTATTCTGACATTATGCCAACTGTTATATTAATTGGTCTTGAATGACGGAGTATACTGTAATTACAAGTTGATAGAA